TTGTATCTGTTAAAATAGAATTTTTTCTTTGAAAACTGGAGTTGAAACACATTCTTCTTAGTAAAGTATCTCAAAAATGGGGAAAAAATCCAATGTACTCAATGCTAATATGTAAACAGTATATAAACAACTACACACCCACATGAAAAATAAACAACAAATACAGTCTAACAAGTGAGAGGGAAGGGGAAAGGGAGGTAAGTGTACTTGGTGGGATCTCATCCAAGTGTACAATGTGAAGGTGTTCGGCATGCCCTCTGGTGAAGGGCTCAACTACATCTTGAACTTTACCTTAGAATTGAAAACAACATACCTTAAACAATTGTACCCTTATATTAATTTGAAATACAAAAATTTTTAAAAATGAAATATAGTTTTTAGTTCCCGTACAGATCATTCTGTCAGTCATATGAAAAGATGAGTGTGTGGCCAGTGAACGTTCTTTGGTATTTCAGAGCATTTGTTTTAACGTCTAATATATTTATATGACATTAAAAGTTAAGACTGGGCTTGACACCTGTAGCACACTGGTTACAGCACCCGCCACATACACCAAAGGTGGCAGGTCTGGGCCAGCTGAGCAACAATGACAGCTGCAACAAAAACTAGCAGGGCATTGTGGCAGATGCTTATTGTCCCAGCTGCTTGGGAAGCTGAAGCAGGAGAATTGCTTAAGCCCAAGAGTTTGAGGTTGCTGTGAGCTGTGACACTCCAGCACTCTGTCAAGGGTGACTTAGTGAGACTTTGTCTCAACAACAACAAAAAAAGTTAAGACTGTAAGATTCTAAGTTACTATACTCCTACATACACATACATTTATTTTAAAATGAGTAGCTACTTCTAGTTTTAGAAAAAGTACAAAATTACGTATTCTTTAAATAAAGACTACAATATCAATTACTTAAAGTAGGAATTTTCTTTTAGTTCAGATGAATACTTTATAAAAAACTGTAGGAATTGAATGTGTTTTTCCTGTGATGACCTACTTTTAGTTCTATGTGTCCCAAGGACTTGATACCATCTTAATCTTTGATCCTTCTAACAGTGAAAAGTACAGTATAATACAAAAGAAGGGAAAATACTAAGTCAGTTAAAAGGTGACATTTGGGATTCTGTCAAACTTGTAAGTAATTACTCATTGTAATTACTTCATTGTTTTCTGTGTGTTGCTGAGGTAAAAGGTTTAAATAAGTGTTGTGAAAGCATGACTTATAATGAAGATTTTTTTCAGTTTATGAATAAATTTAAGAGAATTTGCAGTGCTCTTTTAACTTTGGGAGGTAGATATATGTGCCCGCATAATTTACCTTTTCTAGTGCTTGCCATTCTGTTTTCATAACTCTATGCTGCCACCTGGGATCTTTTCCACAGGCCAAAGACTTAACTTTGGTATTTCTCTTTGGATCCACTGGGGAGGGTGTGGGTGTGTGCGATGGCGGTGAGGGTGTAGGTATGTTTGTCTGAGACTGTCTTTATCTTTCATTTTTGAAGGATATTTTTTCTTGACATCAGATTCTCTTTCAGCAATAAAATACTATTCTGTTGTCTTATTTCTATAGTTTCAGTTAAATTAGTTATTCTTGTTTCCATGAACATGGCTTTATTTACTTATTTACTTATTTATTTATTTATTTTTTGAGACAGAGTCTCCAGCTGTCGTCCTAGTTAGAATACCATGGTGTCACAGCTCACAGCAACCTCAAACTCTTAGGCTTAAACGATTCTCTTGCCTCAGCCTCCCAAGTAGCTGAAACTACAGGCACCTGCCACATGCCTGGCTATTTTTTGGTTGTAGTTGTCATTGTTGTTTGGCAGGCCTGGGCTGGATTCAAACCCGCCAGCTCCAGTGTATGTGGCTGGCACCCTAGCCTCTGAGCTATAGGGGCTGAGCCCATAAACGTGAGTTTTTTGACTTTTTAATTTTGTCTTCCTTTGATTTTTAGTAGTTTGATTCTAATGAGACCAGTTGTAGTTTGAATTTATGTTGCTTAGTTTCCTGAGCTGCTTGAGTTATGTGGCTTGATGAGATTTGGTAAACTTTTGGTCTGTTTCTTTATGCATTGGTTCTGTCTCATTCTTTCTCATCTTATCCTTGAGTCTTTTAACCATGTTGTACATGTTTCTTACAATCTGCTTTTTCCCTTCTCTGTGCTTTAGTTTGAATATTTCTTTTAATCTGTCTTTGAGTTCACTAATCCTGCGTTCTGCTGAGTTCAGTCTGTTGTTACTTAGCTTTCATTTTCAAATATTGTAGTTGGCAGTTCTAGCATGTCTATTTGATTCTATTTAAAAATAGATTCCAGTTCCCTTTTCAAATATCCCCATTGTTTTTATCTCTTCTCTCCAGCTTTCCTTCTATTTTACCTTAGTAGTTATAGTTTTTAAGTCTTTGCTAACTCTATTGTCTAGGTCATTTCTGCTGTCCTTCCATGGTTAATCTCTGGATAGTTAGCCATTTAAAAGCTGTTTGGGTTGGGCACGGTGGCTCCAAGGTGGGAGGATCACTTGAGATCAGGAGTTCAAAATTAGCCTGAGCAAAGTGAGACCTTGTCTCTACGAAAAAAAGTAAACTTAGCCAGGCGTGGAAGCGGGCACCTGTAGAGTTTTGGCTATCTGGGAGGCTGAGGCAGGAGGATTACTTGAACCCAGGAGTTTGAGGTTGCTGTGAGCTAGGCTGAGGCCATAGCACTCTGGCCTTGGCAACAGAGCAGCACTCTGTTTTTTTAAAAAAAAATAAGTTGTTGGTGTATATGTGTTAGATACTATAAATAACATTTATAGAGGTTTAGGATTACATTATCTTCCTCTGAAGAGGGTGGACTTTGACTCTTGGAGGCATTTAATCTCTAGGTTTATTAACTTGATCCCATCAAGGCTTGGTTTTGAGATTTGTTAGGTGTATTTCAGTTTTGCCTTAATCATAAGATTAAGGACAA